AACTCTACCAGCCTCCGGCAGATCAGGCAGGATCAGGCTCAAAGGTGATAAGTCCAACGTCAGTGTCGGTGTGGTTGTCGACAGAGCACAACAAACTCTACCAGCCTCCGGCAGGATCAGGCTCAAAGGTGGGAAGTCCAAGCAGGGCAGGGGGGTTGGACAGGTAGTGGCCCAGAGGTCAGAGCAGGAAAAAAAAAAAAAAAAAAGCTGTGCCGACTCCTGACCGTCGGATCCAATGGAGACGGTTGGAGTTTAGCAGTAATGCTAGTGCTGCTGTTTTTTTTTTCAACGCTGAAAGCCTCCACTCAGTTTCGGATCCTAAGGCTGCAATCAGTGGAACAGTGATGTGTGAACTCTGTGCAAACAAAGGCTGCAACAAATACCATTACTTGAAGGCACAGTATTAAGCTTAATGACGACCATCGAAGCGTAGTACAACCTTCTGGGGCCGGGGGGGAGCGGGAAGGGGGGGGGGAAGGGGGGGGGGAATAATGGCACCGCTACACGGGTGCACAATGTACATCGAAAACACCCACCCTCCAGCAGCAGGTGCGCTTCATGACAACCTCTACCTTCCTTTATTTCTTGGTTTATATTAATTTTATAAATTATAAAATTATAAATTATAATGCTTTAGGCACTTCTGCTGTCGAGATTCGATCTATTGAAGGGGAGAAGTACCAGCGGTACCCTCGCTGCCGATGATAGCCGTTCCCCCCAATTTCACGAATTAATTAACTAATAATTAAAGATGAAGTAACTATTAAGCAACTACTAATTAACTATTAATTAACTATAAATAAACCATTGATTGACTATTCACCAACTATTATTAATTCATTATTAATTAACTATTATTAATTACTACAATGATCGTTGACGCCGTAACGACGAATGAGTGGTCATCTTCGAGAAGGAACACGAGAGAGACTACAATTGAGGTTTCGCAGAAGGAGGAGGAGGAGGAGGAGGAGGAAAGCAGAGTTTTGAATACAAGGTTACAGGCATAGTCGACCTGGGAATCTCCTGCATGTATATCATCGCCATCACGACTACATTCCATCAAGAAAGTGCAAGTATGAGTTTACCTTAAGTCAGCTCCCATAAGACGATCCGATGGCCGTAATTGCGGCCAGATGCATCCGATCTTGTATCATGGGATACACTGACCACAATAGGGAGCTTCGTGAATGCATCTGGCCGCAATTACGGCCGAGCTCGGATGCATTTGACAGCAATTACATGCAGAAAATGTACAATAAGTCCGGAAATGGCTAGCGTGACCGATTATGCCCTCAGATCATCAATACTTGAGTGTAAACGGGTATCAGATTTAGAGCCTCGCTCCAACGCCCACTCAATGTGAAAAGGACAAAAAAAAAGAGAAAAAAAATGGCATACACTCCTTACCGTCGTACTTTCGAACATACACTCGGCATTCTACAGATTTGGTGATTAGAGC